TGGGGGTGAGAGGTATAGCTCTGAATCAGAACTTCCTAGACCAGCTAGACCAGGGGTTGTCAACTGGGGGTAGGACTACCCCCAGGAGACTTGACAAAGCCCTAGTGGGTATGTGTGGGTGGGCGGGAATGGAGCACTGCCACGCACTATTCTGTGCTGCTGTGCATGCGCTGCCCGCCCAACCGGATGCAGAGGGTAGGGGAAGGTCGCATGAGGTGACTGCCACCACGCTGCATCTGGCTGGATGCCATGCTCCTCCCCGCTCTGCATCCAGCTGGGTGGGCAGTGCCTGCACTGCATCTGGCCGCTGGGGGTACACTGCTTCACATCCAGCCGCTGGGGGTACACTGATCCAAAAGGGTTGAAAACCCCTGTCCTAGATCTTAAACAATGGGTGGGCAAAATGGTGGGTCTGGCCAGTGGCCAGACCCCATATCCCAGCAACCCCTGCCTGCGTGGCTATGGCCAGTTTCCATGGAGACCCTGGCAGCAGCCACGCTGTGATAGCATAAGGTTGGGTTTCCGTGGAGACTGACAGAGCATGCGACAGGGCTGCTCTGCAGCTGGGCTGGGTTCTTGCAATGCTGACAGCATGATCTGGAGGCAAGGCAGAGCTGCAATCACTGCTTGCATGCCTCTGCCCATGGCATGCAGACTGCAGATCCTGGGTCTGCCCTGGCTCTGGGCCACACTGTTACTGCTGCAAGATCCCAGCCTGGCCCTGGAGCAGTTCCCTGTCATGTTGCGTGCCCTGCCAGCAGGGGCAGCACTAGGGAGGGGCTGGGGGGAGGCTATAGCCACCCCGAAATTCCCTGTAGCCACCCCTTCCAGTGCTGCTGCCGCCACTGTCCACCCTCCTCAGCCCCCCACCAGGAAAAGGCTGGCACTGCTGCTGCCTGCCAGCGCTGCTGGGGCCGGTCTCCATGGAAACCCCGGCCTCACGGCAGGTATGCTTTCCCATCCAGTTCCAGCCCTAGCTTCATACTTTGCAGGGCCCCCTCATCAGGGATGCTCTTAGATAAGCTGATGAATGCTTACTGTGGCTGATTCACTGTTATGAAACATTCCCAGAGGGTGGTAGGGCTTCTGATGGGGTTGCTAGCTTGGGGAAGCACAGACTAGTTTGACATAGTTCAAGAGCTCCAAGGTAGAAATGGGCTCCCTGCAATGGGGAGAGAAGTGCCTTTAACTCAGGAACTGACAATACATCTATCACTTTGCATTGCACAGGCATCAGAAGAAAATAAAAAGGCATATGCTTCTTGGAGTGTTGCTTTGAGTCACCCTGCTCTGCCATTCACCCCAACCCACCCCCTGTTTTTAAAAGCAATGACTCATCTTTGCACTGATACCAACCAAACAAGTATGTATCCCCTGCATTTTAAAAAGCATCGAGCCACTGTCTTCAAATTCCCTGTCCTTGATTTCGAGTCTGACTAGAATCAAATGTCATTTTAACTCTGGTCCCATTCAACAAATCTCTAGTGAAGTCCTATTAATTTTCAATTAAACTTCAAGTAAACCAATTAGCATTTTCATTTCTACAGAGCCACAGAGGCAGAATGCGTAATGAGCCTCCCCCCACTTATTCACAGAGGAATAAATGGCATGGAGTGACTCCTCAGTGCATCTTTCCTTACAGACTATTGCCTTTATCCTGCCTGCCTCTTGGAGGCATCAGACGGGATTTCTTTAGGTGCCTGCAGCCCTATGGTCTCTCTTCTCCTCCTGTACCTTTGATGCCCCCCCCAGTCACTGCTGGTGCCAAAGCTGTGCCCTGAAAGCATGATGCCCCCATGCTGGGCATTGCACAGCCTCCAGCCCCTGCTGGCAACAGGCTCAGTGCAGGCTCGGACTTGGCATTACCAGCTCTTAAATATGAAATTATCATATTAGAAGCTTAAAAATTATCATATGCACTGAAAAACTATCATATACCGAAAAATATGCAAATAAGTATGCAAATAAGTATTTTTCTTATTTACTTTATATTGCCAGTGAGTGGGTGAGAACGGGGTTATCAAAGTTGAAGCATTTCTTTATTTCAAGGCAAGTAGTCATAAGAAAGTGGTAACAGCAAACCCAAAAGTCAGTTAATACTTCCTGAGGGTGACTTGGGTGTTGCAGTTGCTGCACTAATTAGCTGCCTCAACAATTAACGTACAATTTGAACACTTTTACTGTTATTGATTGGACATCATACAAGGGTGGAAATTACTGGGCATATATAATAATTATTGTCCACCTGGCAACACCAGTTGGGCTCTCCTTACAGCTGCTGCCTCCTTCTAGCGTGCACCGGGAACAGCTTGCTCGCGTCCATGCTTCTGCAAAAGGTAGCGCCCCTGCTCCAGCAAGCACCTGACATGCCTCTACTCACTTTAGCCTTGAACCTCTGCTAGGGCTTGAAAGCCACTGGCCCCATCCCCAGAGCTGCTGCCTTGCACAAAGTCAGCCCAGCGCTCTTACCCCTGCACGTTCCCTAAGCCATCTGCAGCCAGGGACTCCATTAGGGCCTTGCCTCAGGTGCAGCCAGCACGGGGGGCTCTGCAAAGGGCTCTCGGGCTTGCACTGACCCTCGGCTCTCCGCGCTCGTAACTAGCAGTGCATCGATCCTCACAGCAGTCCCATGGGCCCTACTATGAGATGGGGTGTGTTAAATGAACACTCACTGTCTCACAACTGGGTGGTGGCACCCGAGGGAGCACGTTAGCCTCTCAGCGAATGGTGCTTCAAATCCTGTGCGGTACAGACATTCAACAAGCCCAAGGCTCTAAGTTACACGGGATTGTGTAAACAGTATAGTTTAGTGTCTGTTTGTTTGTTTTTTTTAAATTTGGGATACCTTTCCTTTACTTTGTTGTGTACTTGTGGGGCCTGTTGGCCAAGCTTTCAGGCCCAAAGTGCCCTTCTTCATACTGAGCCCAGACCTGGAGAAGGCCATGGAAACCTTGTCCAAATCTCTACTGACTGTACAGTTGGTCCAGTCAGAGGTGTCACGGGTCCCCAGCCCTTCTTCACCTCATACATTTCTGGGCCCATCAAGGCTCGAGTAACAGTCCCCCGGTTGCACGTTGATGTCTTCCTCAGTACTCAGACCACCTTTGTCAAGGGTAAAGCCTCAGGGGTGTAGGTTGTAGCTGTGCTGGTCTGAGGCCATAGGCAGACAAGGTTCTTCGGGTAAATCCGATATCTTTTTTTAGAGCAACTCAAATTGGTGGAAAAATTCTTCTTTGCACGCTTGCGGGTACGAATACCCTTCATCAGGCTGAGGAAGCATCTGTAGGTGGTCCATCAAAAAAGGTTAAAGCCAGATACTTAGCTAAGAGATTGAGTCCATTCAAAGAGAATATGATTCAATTAGGTTTTTTGGCAGACCTGTGGGAAGCACAAGGGCAAGGTGTCTGCCCTGCTCGTGAGCTTTAGCTCTTGTGACATGAATGCCCAGCTCCATCAGCAAATATGAAGAAGAAATGGCAGCAATTGGCATAAACCCAAGTGTGCGCTCCTAATGACACCCTGCAGAAATGATCTGTGCATTGTTTCTCTTGACCGGTAGTAACCATATCAAGTGCTTCTGAGGAAAGTGGATTTGTGATGGCCTTGTATGTTTTCCCCCATCAGCTCCCCCCCCATCCCACTCAAAAAAACCTGCCTGCCCACAGTTCAGAACTGAATCAAAATCACAATTTTTTCAATGTTCCTAATCCATATCACAGGATTTTTTTTTTTAACTGGGAGGAGGGAGAGGGAAGGAGAACTTTGGTCTGAATTCCATGGACACAGGTTTGTGAATGCAAACTGGTTACAAGCATTGCAAAAGTAATCTGTAAAATGCTGAGTCCCATGCAGTTCTTCCATATGAAAAGCTGTGTGTGGTTTTTTTTTTAATCTCACAACAGATGAGACAGAACTGTATCAGCTGCAATGCCTTTTACACTCTAGGTCCAGCCAGTCCTGCAACATTGAAGAGCCTGAAATTTAAAAAGCGACTAGTGATTACCAGGGCTTGGGATCTGAAAGAAACATCTGTCTTCTGACATTCAGATCCTTTGAAGATGTAATGCACTGAGTGCCCAGAATTGCTTATCATTTTTGAAAATGTAGGGCAGCAAATGCAAGCCACCTGAAAGCAGGTCATACCGTCCCCTGCTAACAGACATTGTCTTGCAGTATGTCAGTAACTTTATCTGCCACTTTTATGTAATTTCTCTTATTCTGTGAAGAAAATATATCTGCTGAATGGGAGGAAGTAAATATAGAAGACACCAAGGTTTTTATAATAAAGCTATCATCCCCAACAGATGCTGACACAAAATCTGTTTGTCTCATAAGTGCATCACCAGTATTGCTTCAAAACAGTGCACGGTATTTAGAAACAATGCTGTTCCTAGACAAAGGCCTAATTAGGGTCCCTGACTGTTTTCCAAAATGTTTTGTGAGTTTGAAAACAGAAGGGGGGAAAAAAACATTGTGTGTGTGTTTTGACAAGCTCTGCGAACACACAGCATGCGAGCCTCTGCTGCGTATCTGTGATTCCAACATGTCACTTCACACCACTGTATTTCTGGCCTTGCTTTCTGTTTATTCACTTCCACTGGAGAACAGATTGTGCTCATTTCCTCTTGGTTGTTGGCACTGACATGGCCCTAAACGGATCCTGTGCCTAGGAGGAAAGGAAAGGGTTAAGGTGGAGACTTGGAGCTGAAACCACTGCAGCTGAGACTCATTATGGCCCTGATTAAAAGCAGCCTTCGAAGAAGGGTGTGGGGATTGAAGTAAAGGCAATTTGGTAATTTTTTAAACTTTTGGAAGGGTTTTTTTTTTTTTTTCCCATTTCTTTCTCTTTTTGTGGGAGAGACTACCTACTGGTGTTTGGATGAAGTAGTTTGGGCAGTGGGGCTTTTCTCTGGGTGGGTCTCAGTCTGTTTGTAAAGTTCTGGATGAGAGAGAGAGTTTGGGGAACTTCCACAGTTGCTCTTCTCTGACAGTCAAAAAGCATATCAAGCCCCTCGACAGCAAAGAAGAAATAAGCAAGCATCCTCCCTTGGGTAGCCAAGGTTCATGTCTGCTAACCACAAGCCTGCTAACCAAATAATATTACTAGGTGAGCTGTAATTGTGGGCCCAAAGGCTGTGTGTGGGTTCTGTTTGAAAAATGCACCTTCTTATCAGGAGCTCTCTTCAGAAGTGGGCAGCCTGGATGCCAAAAGCATTGTGTTAAAAGAAAAATTCTTAATGTAAAATTATGGAAATGGAAAGGTTAGAAATGCTGAAGTGACTCTGGTGCTCCATTCTTAGTTTGGGGGGGAGGATTTTTTGTGTTCACTGTGTTTGTTTTCTTCAAGTGGCATTTGAATTCCTGAGTAACTTAAGCACTTCTGACCATTTTGCAATGTAAAAGCAAAAGCAACAATGATAAATCCTCCATGCATTTTCAGTTCATAGGGTCAGAGTTGCAGTTGGCCTACTTAAGTGTAGCTCAAAATAATGGAGTTAGATTATGCCACTGCCACTTCAGGATCTGGTTTGTTGCCAGGACTCAGTATTTTCAGGTCTACCAATGCAAAATCTACACCTGTCTTGCAGAGGGAAAAGGAACTTTCTCCTAGTAAAAGGCATGTACCCTGTAGCACAGGTAGTTTCTTACCATTTCAATAGTCTTTTCAATGCAAGGTCATGGTAAAAGTCAAACCCAGGTTTCTCCTGTACCATTTTTTTGGTAGTGTTAAAAACATGCCTGGTGTAGCACCATACACATCAAAGCCAAGAAGTTAGCAACTGTAAGGAGGTGGCTTCAGTGCCAGCCAGCTTGAAAACCAAAATCACATCAAAATAAAAATTCTTAATTTAAATCTTTACAGATGCCAAGTGAAGGGGAGGCCTTGAGTTGTAAAGCAGTATGTAGTAATAATAAAAAAAGACACTCTTGCATTGCAAAGATGTGACTGATTGCTAATGAGCTGATAGTTTGTTATGCTATTCCAGGTGCTGTTAGTAAAAGCCTCTTTTCCTGGCACCTATGATTCTGGGCATGCATCCAAAAGACTCATGAGTGGGCTACATGCCACTTGGTAGGTGTTCTGGGCAGGTAACGTAAGCCTAGTGAAATAAAACATAATCCACGGCAGGGGGCTGCATGGATTTTTTTCTGTTGGTCCATCCATGAAGCTGTAGTTCAGTTCAGTTGCGTTGTTTTCTAAGCAGTTTTCCCCCCTCCTGTTTTCTGTTCTGAGCAAAGAAGGTTCTTGACTAAAAATTCTGGGTTTCTTTGAAAGGCACCCAACATTCCGTTTCCACTCATTCCTGCCAAAGTAACATGATCGTTCTCAATGTAATTTTTCCTGATTTATGCCCTTCGAAGCGAGAAGAGAGTCGGGCTCCCTTCTTTTAAGAAGGAAATCAATCCATGGAAATCCTTTTACAGAATTATTTTAAAAGGTTGTAGTAAAAATGGCCATAAGACTTGCTAATGTTGAAGCATATAGCATGGCTTAATAGATGGCAGTCCTTCACTGCCGAGTCTTAGTAATTTATGTTTTAGGTTCTTTTGCATCGTTTATGGTAAGCTTTGAAAGAAGTTCATAAGGATTTCTTTTTTCTTTTTTAAGTGTTTCTCTACTAAGCACCTAACTCATTTCTGCTTACAATGACTTAGTTGTGAAGGATAAAATGTCACCCAGTGTTATGGAAGTACAATAGATTCTTTTAACAATTACTACTATAGAATGTGTATCTTGCCGTTGAATAGAGCATTTAACATTTTTGACAGAAAGCCTTTTTGTCAAAAATGCCCATTAATTAAAAATTTTAATTTTCTGCTGGAGTATCTTCCTTTTGATACATTTTTTGTTTAGAAATATTGAAAAGTCCCTTTTAGCACTTTAAAGAAGTAACACTTAAATTTTTGTTTTGAAAAAAGGACTTTTCTTTTCAAATATGTTTTGTCGAACAGTGCAAGGCAAAATTAGAATGACTGTTTGGGGATCTCAAAATAATTACTTGCTTTCTTTCTTGCCTGTGATTTCCCTCCCCCCTCCATCTTCAAATATTTTTTTTCTGGGAAATGTTGAATTTCAATTTTCTCTTCCAGTTAGGAACAAAGACTGAATTTTGTAACTGTTTATTTCCCAAGAAACAGAAGTTCTGCCAAGCTACTAGATTTAATTAAGTTAATATGGGTTAGTAGCAGATTGCTATTCTCTTAGGTGAGTAGAGAGAGCCTGTGTTAGGCTTCAGCTTTACATCATTAGGGAGGTAAGTATGTAGTTGACTGAGGCGTGGTTCTCTCTGTGTTCCTCCTGCATAGCTGTGGATGACCTTTCTATAGGATTTGGTGTCAAAGCAGAAAACTAGCTCTGAGAGAGAGGTTTTGCAAAACGGTATCAATAGAAGTGCTTCCATGACTTCTCAACATGAGCAGAATATATGTTCTGTTATAAAGCATAGAGATTAGACATGTATGTGATAGGTGACAAAGCCATTATAAGTGATTAGTGCTGAGATTTTTTTTGTATAATAGAAATGGTTGAGGATACTACAAAATCTTATTGCTTTAGAGCATTAACCAGTCTGGCTAATCTTGGCATTTCTCCTGGGCATGGACCTGGAATCCAGTGGTAACATCTGGAGTCCAGATCCTCTAACTAGTACTTTGTCTATTTTTGTTTTATTCAGATCAAATGGAGTACATAATGCTACTGTTTCGATGGGGTAGTGTTTCTTACTCATTTGTCAGTGATTTGAATGCCCATATTATGTGTGCGCCCATGGAGAATTAGGCTTTGAGTAGCCTGCGGCTCCTGCTTTTAAGAAGCTGCTATAATGTGTCTCCTAAATTATACACAGGTGTCATTATTTATTTGTTATAGTATTTTGCAATGATGGCCTTGAGCCACATAATAACATTGTTGTGAACTCTATTTGGATACATTATTAGCCATAATTATTATTTTTCCTAATTTTGAACCACTTGTTTATCCCTCAGTGAAAGCATCTACATAATTATAAATGTGAATTATTTCACACTTGAGTTAACTGAGGTGCAGAAAAGTTGAGTATATTTTCCAAAGTTTTGGTGACAGAGCTGAGTAGAAAACACAGAAGTCCTTTCTTTCAGCACCCTTTTCTAGCCATTAGAAACAACATAACAATCTGCCTTTTTTTAAGGGTTGCCAGCTCCAAAATTCATCCTAAGCAAAATGCTAGCAAACAATCAGGGAAGAGTATTCTCATTTCATCAGTGCTTTCTCTTTCTCACCCAGACAAAGAAATGTTTCTGCGGAGGATAATACACAACATGGCCAAAGGATTGAACAGCCCAAGGAGAGAGCACCATTTGTATATTCCGCATACAAGGTAAGCGAAGCAAGCACCTCTGTTAATCAATCTAATTTATATAATTGAGACTGCAAATTAGAGAAAACAACCCAGTGACAAACTATTGTAATTACACAAAATCAACCAGTGAACTAATTGAAGTGACAATCTGTCAACAAAATTCATATATTTAAACACTGTGCTACATGCAGTAATTATAGAGGGTTACCCTGGTGAAACCCTCCCGTTTTCTTATGGTGGGAAACAAAGGGAACTACACTTCCAGTGCTGCATTTTTTAAGCCTGACTTTGAAAGCAAGAAAAGGTAAGATGATGTCAGTATTCATTTGGGGAACAAACCAGTGCCTATGCCAGTTAGCTAGGGCAATAGACACTGGATCAGATGCTGGAAACTGCAAAGTCTTCTGATGTAAAATCCTGTTTCATTGGAATATAGTAGAGGAACCCTTGTTTCATGAGGTCTATAGGATCCAAACTGAATGACCAGAGCATCTTACTGTTATATAAAATCTCATTCAAAAGTGATCCATGTGTTATCGTGTGTGCTATTGGGTTAGTTTTAATAAGGCTGAACTAAAGCATGAAAGAGTTAAAGGAATGTGTGCTGGTCAAGTTGGAGTTGCCTGAAACTTGTCCCTTTTTAAAGTGTTTTTTTAAACCTTAAGTTTTTGACCAAAAAATGAACATTTTGACTTTTCTAAACATTTTTCTTTGTTTTTATCAGCTCAGTAGTAATTAAGGATGCTTCTAAATTCTGTGAGGTTGTAAATACCTACTTTTTATTCACGGGGAATTAAGGGTGAAGGGTGGGTGATTTGTTGCTTGTTTATTTAGATGTGTAGAGGCATGCGAGTACAAGAGGGAGAACTTCTCCTTGAGCTCTAGATGTTCATGATAAAAATATATCCTAAATTCTGCAGTATGATTTAATATAACTCATTGCCATCAATGCAAGCATCGGTAAAACTCAAATCCCTTTCAGCAATTTCTCACCCTTAAAATTTTGGTTGGACTAATTTGTCCCAGGCCTAACAGACTCCGTTTTTTCACCTCAACATTCAGTAGTTCCTTACTCAATGAGTTGTCTAATTAAAATGAGTAAGCACATGTGCAGTTCAAAGCATTCCTAAATATAACTAAAGGGTTGAAGAATCCAGCAAGAACCCTGCTACTTTACTTTGAGATCACGAAATTCCTGTGTATGCGAATGATGGAGAAAAAAATACCCCCCACTGCAAAGTTAATACAAGCTGTAATACTAATAATGTTCCATGTTAACACTTGCAAACAGCTAATGGTATAAACAGAAGCCAAAAGGAAAATACAACTGGGGAGTTGTTCAGGTTCCCAACAGCAAGAATTTTTATTATTTTTATAACGCAAGCCAAGACAGTATCAAAGACAATGCCAAGACACAGTTCACCCTGATAAAGCTTTTACACACACGTTTAGGAGGAAAAAAATACAGAAGAGAAGAGATTGCAAATTTCAAAGAACTGCCTTTAAGCAAGCAATATTTATTCACTCGCTGTCAAAAATCTAAATGCTCCCAGTGCCAACAAAGAAATAGTATTCATTTACACTAACATGCGTTAAATAAAGCCCTAGAGAGAGGCAACCTGTAAGGGCTCCCTCATGAGTTTGACCATTGGCAACTGGGCTAATGGGATGGCAGTGGTGATGAACGCCAGTGGTGTGCAGCAGTCGGTTGGATGGTTTCAGATGCAGTTTTACCCTATATTCATGTATTGTTGCATTTGTATTGATCTCTGGAAGTCTATAACACAGATATACAGGCAGAGCTGCCTGAAGTGGCTGTTCTGAAAGATTTGGAGGAGACCAGAACTAAGGTAGAAGAAGTCAAGCAATTGTTCGATAACTGGTTCCCAGGCAATTCCATCAGATATCAGGTGCAGGACCTTCTCTTGAATCAAGTCTAGAAGTGTCTTTCACTTCCTTCTCGTCAAAGAACAGTGAGAGATCTGTGAAGTTTGCTTTGGTAATAACTATAAGCACAGTTTGTAATCAGTAGTTTCTGGTGTTTTTGCTGATGTGGTTTGACCCCATATTCCTCCTCCCCCCGCCCCTGGGAAAAGAAAGGTTAGTGGAGTTATTTCGTAGTTGAAATCCACTTCTGCATCTGAACTGTGACTGCAAATTGGTGTCGCTTGTAGACTGGGATTGAGTCACTTGTAGGCGCCTGGTACAGAACTTCGGAGTTAGGAAGACAAATTCCTAGACTTAAATGTGGTTCAAATGCATGCACAGACCTGGGCCTGGCTTTCTTCAAAGGGGTAATTTTCACCCCTTAAGAGACTTCCGTATGCCTCGTTCAGTCAAAATTTGCAGATTTTATCTGTGAAATGCTTGATTGCATGTACAATTTCACTAGAGCTTTCTGGTTTGGGAGGACAAAATAATGTCACAAATGTATTGCAGGGCAGGGGAAAATCCTGGGGAATTTTTCTTTCAATCAGAAAATCTGTGAAGCAGTGAAGATAGAATTATCAAAAGCAGTTACCCTATTTCTCATCAACTCCTTCATTTACTCCCACAGCAGAAGCAGAAATAAACCAGCACGCAGCACTCTTGAAAATAATTTCTTTTTTTGGGGGGGAGGCTTTCTTTCAATACCTAGAAGCCAGAATCTGCCCAATTTTGTAAGGAGTTCCATTAACATCAGTTGTAGAATATGGCCTTTGAACATTTATTATATAGTTCCTCTTTTTGAAATACTCGCATCATGATTTTATTGTTTATTCATTTGTCCTTGTGTTCTGCATATGCACAGTTGTCATGGAAATGGAGTCTCCATCCTTTCAGTGATGCTCTGTCACCTCCCCCTTTGCTCTCTTCCCTTTCTAAGAGGATTCATGGCTGGAAACTTTTTTTTTGTGGACCACATGTTTATTTTAAATCCTCTTTTTTTTCCCCAGTGTGTATCTGCAGAGAGAAATACATAGTGTGTAGCCATTCAGCAAAGACTAAATCTTGCTTCAGCAAGAGTTATACAAACACATTTAACTTGTTTACTGAACAAACATATCTTCACAAAGCTTTGAGTTTTACTGTTGACTTCCACTACAATGCAGAGTGGAAATGAGAACTAGGATAAAATTGGAGGATAGAGGAGGAGGAATAATAAAAATGCCAGTTTCTTTTTTTTCTGAAGAACAAAGCTGTTTTACATTCAGTTGTTCTCCTCCCTCCCTGGTAGTATATATATTTAGGATGACTTAAGAAGACTTTAGAGTTTTAGATGTGTTTTGCAGAATTTCTGAAACTCTGTTCTCTGAATTGCTTGACTAACTACAATAATGTCATGGGTATTGTCCTCTGTTACTGAAGAGTCTCAGTCCCTTGGTTTCCAGTGTGTTTATCACCCCCAATACCCTGTAAGGCAAGGAATTGCTGTTACCCCCCTTTGTACATGAGGAGAACTGAGGAAAAGAGAATCAAAGGCTTAGCTTGTTAAAGGTATTTAGACACCTAGCTCAAAAGAATTAATGCCAGTGGGCATTAAGTGCCTAAACACTTACATTTTGGCTTTAGGCTCCTAAGTCAGGCAGGGTTTGTAATGTTGAGAAAAGTAGCACCTGAGTTGCTTTTTGAAAACCTGGGCTCTGCATAGCAGAGCAGGAAATCAAGAGTCCCAAACAGATGCCCTACCATTGGGCCATCTGCTCTCTTATTTGCTTAAATCTAAGAGCAGGTTATGTCCGGGGCTCTGTGAACTATTGTAGCCAATACTTGATAAAGTATCAAGTATTGGCTGCAATAGTTCACAGAGCCCCGGACATAACCTGCATTGTAGTGGAAGTCAACAGTATAACTCCTGTGTTAAAGGCCATTGCAAGACCTATGAACCATGTGAATGAGTCCCACTTACTCCAGAAAGGTCAGCAGATGAAAAATGTCTTGAACACAAGCAGTGAGAGGGGTCAAAGGGCCCTGGTGGGGCTGGGGTGAATGTCAAAGAGCCCTGGTGGGGCTGGGATGCGGGGTGTTCTTTTCTATTGTTTCTAGGAACCCTAGATACAAACTCCTCCACTGATGGCAGACCTGGTTGCATGGCTTGTGAGAGAGCAGTGGAAGATAAGTATCCAGGGGTAAAGA